TTATCTATCTATCCATACACACACACGCATACATATATACATACATACATACATACCGGTTTTGTGGTGTGGGTGTGTGTGTGCGCGCGCGTGCGCGCAATGGTTATCTAATCTCTTCATAAAAGCCTCCAGGGTTGAAGCACCCATAACTTCTGGAGGCAAGTAGTTCCACTAGTGAATTGTCCTCACTGTCAGGAAATTCCTCATTTCCAGGTTGAATTTCTCCTTGTTCAGTTTCCACCCATTGTTCCTTTTCTGGCTTTCAAAGGTGCCTTGGAGAATAGCTTGACCCCCTTCCTCCTCCTCTCTGGGGCAGCCCCTCAAATATTGGAAGGCTGCTCTCCTGTCTCCCCTGGTCCTTCTCTTCCCTAGACCAGCCAGGCCCAGTTCCTGTAACCGTTAGTCTCCAGTCCCCTCATCATCCTGGTTGCTCTTCTCTGCACTCTGGTTGGGCAGTCCGGCTGGGCAGAGCAGGGGAGAGGGAGAGCAAGGGAGAGGGAGTGCAAGGGAGAGGGAGTTCGGAGGAAGACCTAGGCGCACCCCCTCTTCATCCTAGGGCACGCAGGAACAGAGAAGGGAGCAAGGTGGGTTGGGTGGTTTATGGGGGTGGAAAGGGCCCTGATTCCCTTCATTAGCCACCCCTGAGGATGAGTTTAAAAGAGATGCAGGCTGAGTGCGGCAGCTGCTGGGAGCCAACGTGACTGCAACCTGCGTTGTCGTGGCTTATCTGTGTTCCTGGCACCTTCTGAACCGTGTGAGTTTTGCCGTGCTTTCAAGTCTAACATTCTTGCTCCTGCCCTGCCAAACTAATTACTTCCGTTTGGTTTGTTTGGACTTTTAAGGGACAGTTTGTGTTGCTCATGTTTTGGACTGAATTTCCTCCACTTAAAGGCTGTTCCTGGGAGAGTTTTTTTCCTCCAGCCGAAGGTAACCTGGACATTGGGGGGGCAAAGTTGGAGATAATAAAAGGGACTCTCCCTGCTTATCTGACCGGGTTGCCTTTGGGCCACGCCCCGTTGGGTCATCACATCCACAAGCCTTAAAGCTATCAAGTTTGAAGACTCGTCTTGAGGATTCAGAGACCGCCCTCAATTTAGTGCCGTCCTCCTGACAATCCTCAATTTTGATCGCCCCCCCCCCCCTCACGCAGAGACTGCTATACCAGGAAAGAGGGGGAAAAAATCCCAGGTAGTCCTCCACATACGACCACAATTGAGCCCCAAAGGAATGTTGTGGCTCCCATCCCTGAGGGAAGACACCCCTGGTGGGACCCAGAAGAAGGGCCTTCTACGTGGTGGCTCCCTCTCTGTAAAATCATCCCCCCAGAGATTAGAAATGGTCTCCACTCTGACACGCTTCCGGAAGGCACTGAAGACCTGGTTTTGCCAGCAGGCCTGGGGAAACCAGAGCCATTCAATGGCTCGTGTGAGGTGCTGTCGTCGGAGCAGCGAGTGTTGTGGTTTGCCAGCAGCCGGGGCAGGCGGCAGCGGAATCGAACAGAACGGGGACCAGCCAGGGAATCCGGAGGGTCCTGCGTCCGATGCAGGGATGGGGCCAGGACCATCTGGGAGTGGGGTGCTCCCTTTGGAGTCTGTCAGCAGCGAGGAAGAGGACCCGAGGGAGCCTGTTCCCAGTGTGCAGAGCTGCTAGAAGGCGAGAGCAGCTGAGACAAAAGGGGCGACTCGGGAGTAAGGGTGGGAGGTGACAGCCCCTCCCATGAGGGATAAAAGTCAGGCCAAGGTGATGAAACCTTTGCAGGAAGCAAAGTAATTCGATCGGTTCAGTCATTCTGGAAGCTCTTGTAGTTCGGTTGGTTTCTTTTCTAGTTCATTGGATGCTTCTGTTATTGGCAGCGCTTCACAGAACTGAAAGGTGGGTGCTTATCTCGGGGGGACTATTTTGAGATTAATTCCGACTGGGAATGAAAACACTTCCCAGTGTTGCGATAAAATAAGTCTTGGCTTTTTTCTTTGAAAACGCTTTCCTTCTCATCGTTTCTCTGAAATGTTTTCAAAGGAAAAAAAAACCAAAACTAAAGAAGTCCAGTTGCCGTTTGGAAAAGGCACCATCCTATTAATATAGCAATAGCGCTCAGACTTATATACCGCTTCAGAGTACTTATACAGCCCTCTCAAAGCGGTTTCCGGAGTCAGCCTCTTTCCTCCAACAATCTGGGTTCTCATTTTACCCACCTTGGAAGGACGGAAGGCTGAGTCGACCATGTGCTGGTCAGAATTGAACACCCTGGAGTAAAGAGTGAGCTACCTTGCAGCACTGCGCTACGCTGCTCTAAATTTTAAACGTTGTCTACTCATCTCTAATTCAACTTCAACCTGAACTTAATTCCAGATGCTCCTTGGAGACAGTTCGTGTCGCCGGTGGATTCCAGCCCTTCCCACAAGTCCATGACAGATACTAGTACTCCGCTCTGAGAGCCATTGTTTTTTTTATTTCAACATGAAAGCTGTTGTGTCGTCATCTTCCCCCTCCCGCCGCCCGTCGTAAAAACGAGGTTTCCCTCTAAACTCGAGATCCAAAACTTGCCTCCTCCCACCTTACCCGACAACGCGAGAGGGCGAACGAACAGGTGAAAAACGCCCACCTGCACTCTCTTATCTGGCCCCACAAACAACACAACGCTACATTCTGATGTATAGAAGTAAAAAATAATAATAATCAAACAACAGGGAACATGACCCCCCCTCCCTCTCATTGCTACATGCACTGGAAATGGTCTGCAACTGGGGCGGGGGGGGAAAAACATGGTTGGGACAGACATTCTGGGCTGGCATCCACCTTCAGCAGGGATGGAGAGACAGCAGAAGCCCCCCCCTCTCCCCCCCCAGCTGTGTGCCCCCTTCCACCGATGCCTGCCAGGCGGCTCCCGTTCACCGGCAACCTCGAGGGCCCAGCACAATTGGCAGAGCGCGTTTCCAGTCTTCAGGAGAACCTCCCTGCAGGCTCTTCCGTCGGCTGCTGGCGGGGTTAAGCCGGGTACGTCTTCTGGCTTTACACCCACCGGGATTGCCAGGTGGGCTCAGATCACCGACGAGAGAGGAAGAAGAAGGGGAGGTGGGTGGGTGGGGCTTTATTCCAGGTGTAGAAGAGTACCAACGCCCAACGGGGCTATAAACTGAAATAGTCGAGGCTGTTGTGGCGACAGAGGTTCGTGGTCCAGATGGCGTCTCCCCGGTTGGCGCTCAGCAGCATCTGCTGGAGTTCGTTGCTGACCCGGGAGAACTTCTCCTCGTCCACCGAACCGTTGAGCAGGTTGGAAGAGGTGGGAGGCCAGGGCAGGTCGTCTCCGTAGCAGTCCACGGGGTAGGGGTAGATGACCAGCCGCAAGTCCAAGAGGCCCACTGTCTTGTGGAGCAGGTTCTTCACCCCCTTGGCTGAGATGGGGTTGCCAAAGACGCCCAGGTAGCGGAGGCGGGTGCAGCGGCAGAGGGCGGGCAGGAGCAGGTTCAGGTGGCTGTCCATCAGCCGGCACTCCATGATGTCCAGGTGGAGCAAAGAGGAGGCGGCCTCGGTCAGCAGGCCCTGCAGAGGCTGGAGGAGGCTGTCGGACAGGTTGTTGCCGCTCAGGTCAAGCTTCTTCAGGGCCGAGGTGTGGAGGCTTTGGGAGAGGTAGGCAAAGTCGTTGGGCAGCAGGTAGCAAAAGGCCAGCTCCAGGCTCTCCAAAGGGCTTCGCAGGTCCCTGCAGGTAGGGCAAAAGAGAAGGCCGCTTAAGGACGGGCGGGGGCCCCCTCCCTCCCCACCCCTCGTGTTGGGACATAGGAGCTGTGCCTTGGTTTCAGGTGGAGGACCACCCGCGGCCTGTCCCTCAGGCACCAGGGATGAACTGCAAAAAGTCACAGGTGTTATCTGTTATTTATTATTAAACTAGCTCAATATACCTGGTGCTTTGCTACAAAACGATGTGGTTGGGCTTAGTTTCTGGGGAGGAAAATAAAGGGATAAAAGTTCTGCCTCTGCCTACCAGCATCTATCAGTATCCATCTGGCTAGTGTCCTGTCAGTGTGTGACAGAGAGTTGAAGGCTGTTTGGAAACTGAAAGAGTATTTGGTGTGTGAGCAAGGAGGAGACAGCAAGGAGCCTGGGCGTAGCTTAGCTCAACAGTTCTGTGCTAAAGCTGCTTGGTGCGGTGAAACCGAAACTGAAACTCCTCTGCTTGGGTTTTGCATTTGGAAGAGATTTCTTTTCAGGTGGGGAGGGGGAGTAGAACTCCTTAGCATCAGAGCGTGTTAATAATAATAATATAGGAAATCCTAATGCTCTGATGGTCATTTCGAAAAAACCTTTCTTAGCAAGCACCTAGAAGCCAAGAGGAACATACATGCCAAATTTCAAGTTTGTAGGCTTTACAGTTCTGGAGATTTCGTGATGATGCGTGAGGGGTAATTTCACTTTATACACACACACACACACACACACACACACACACACACACACACGCCTATTTATGCCTATAAAGCATGCTGGGACTTCCTATTGGGGGAGGCCGTATTGTTGGAGAAACACGGTACAATACGGCCTCGCCCAATAATACGGCCTCCCCCAATAGGAAGTCCCCCGCATGCTTTATTGGCAAAAAATCAAATTAAGCCCCTCCCCACAAATTAAGGCCTATATTAAACAGGCGAAATGGGGGAGAATGGGGGGGGGGGCTGGCTGTTAGGAAGTACTTTTGTTGCATACCCGGATATGGTGCTGCCTGCGTTGACCTTGGCGTTGTTGGGGCACTTCGTATCGGGAAACCTTTTGCCACCGTTGCTTTCCCTTCTCCCTGAGGCATTTGGCGCAGCCACACGCGGCCAGCTAGGGCGCCTCCCTGTAACCGGAGCCCGGCGGAGACACTCGGCTTCAGGCGCTCCTGTCGCCACCTTCCCTTCGGCTTCGAAGGCAAAGCCCATTCTTTTAAAAACGACGCCCGACTACCGGTACGACAAAGCCTCCCCTGCCGGAGAGGGCAGCCCAACCCCACGTGGGGAGGCCACTCTCCCGGGGCCGCAGCACAGGATTGGCCCACCCTGGGAGAAGCGCCCAGTCGCCATCCCTGCCTGGCGCTGGGCAGAGCGCGAAGACCTTCGCCTGGGGCGCCCAGCTCAGCTGACAGGCGGGCCCTCCTTCCCGGCGGCGGAGCTCTCACCAAGGCAGTGAGCGCCTCCCCGCCAGACCCTCCGCTCATCCCGCCAGGGCCGCGCTGGAGCCGTGCGGGCTGTGCAGAGCCGGGAAAGCGAGCCGCGGGTGCGTGCCCACCTGCCAACCGAAAGAGCCGGGCCGATCTGAGCTTGACTTCCTTCCCAAGTCCCTCCAGCCCGAACCCGAAGGGGTCACCAAGAGAGGCTGCTCGAGGCAATGATAGCGCCCACCCGTTCACGGACAGGGAGGCAAGGTGACGGCAGCGCTGCTTCCCTGGCCGGCGGGTGCGCCGGAGAGAGCCCAAAGCCGCCTGTTCTTTCCACCCCTCGCCCAGCCAGTCCCCGTGCATCTCCAAACGCACGAGCAGCTCCAAATGCTGCAGCGGCACAGGCATCGGGCAGGGGCACTCACTCGTCGGGGCTCAGCTCGGAGGACGTGGCGAAAGCCGTTGCCTTGCCTCCCTGTCCACGGATGGGTGGGCGCTATCACTGCCTCGGGCGGCCTCTCCCGGTGGCCCCTTCGGGTTCGGGCTGGAGGGACTTGGGAAGGAAGCCAAGGTCAGGTCGGCCCGGCTCTTTCAGTTGGCAGGCAGGCGTGCATCCGCGGCTCGCTTTCCCGGATCTGCACAGCCCGCATGGCTCTGGCGCGGCCCTGGCAGGATGAGCGGAGGGTCCAGCGGGGAGGCACTCACTGCCTTGGCGAGAGCTCTGCCGCCGGGCAGGAGGGCCTGCCTGTCAGCTGCGCTGGGCGCCCCAGGCAAAGCTCTTCATGCTCTGCCCAGCACCAGGCACGGATGGCGGCTGGGCGCTTCTCCCAGGGTGAGCCAATCCTGAGCTGTGGCCTTGGGAGATTTGCCTCCCCACGTGGGGTTGGGCTGCCCTCTCGGGCAGGGGAGCCTTTGTCGTACCGGTAGTAGGGTGTCATTTTTAAAAGAATGGGCTTTGCCTTCGAAGGTGAAGGGAAGGCGGCGACAGGAGCGCCTGAAGCCGAGTGTCTTCACCAGGCTCCAGTTGCAGGGAGGCGCCCTGGCTGGCTGTGTGTGGCTGTGCCAAACGCTGTGGCATTGCTCTAAACACCGCGGCAGCACAGGGAGAAGGGAAAGCAACGGTGGCGGAAGATCTCCCGATACGAAGTGCCCCACCAACACCGAGGTCAACATCCAAGCTGTCGCCGCCCACCCGCCCAAGGATGCAAGGGGGAGGAATTAAGTCACCCCCAAAAAGACGGCCTAGCTGTTTTTTGGGGGGGGTCAAAAAAAACAAAAAGGCCTGGCCTTATTTTGTGAGAAACACGTTAGATTTATTGACTGCCCATCTTACCACAGATTAATTTTGGGCGGTTTACAATATTAAATATTAAATATTATTTTTATTAAATATTAAATTAATATTAAATATTAATTTTAAAAAAACCTATGTGCAATATGAATTAAATAATATAAAAGATAAATACTTGGCCCTAAGTAATAAAATGAAAATAAATAAATAAAAATGGATGCAAAATACAATTTATTTCATTGGCCCGGGGGTTTGTGTTAGAAGTAACGAATCAAACCATGACTTGTTTTCTCCTCTTATTTTTGGTCAACCTGAAAATTACATTTCAAAACATGCCCCGGGGCTTCATCAGAAGTTTTCAAGGGCTGCCCTTACGCCAAGGCCCAAGATTGGGTGTCGCCCATTTAATGGGTCTTTTGAGAAGTGAAAGGCGATATAGAAGAGAATTAAACAAACAAAAAACAAGGCAAAAGTACATTTTAAGCCCACAAACGCCTGGCTTTTTCCCCTTCTCCTTCCTTATTTTCCAAGGATTCTCATTTTTCTTTGTATTTTATATTTGGACAAGTTATTTAAAAAGTTATCAGGAAAAAAAAAAGAAAAAGAAAAAGGTGGCAAATAAATCTTGACTTCTCAGTGGGAGCGTGGGTTGGTTTGCTAAACCCAGGAAATGTGCGCTCTTGTTCTCTGCACAGACCTGCCCTTCCCAGGTCTATACAGAATGCAGACTAACCGAGCTGGGAGGGAGCCGGGAGGTCTTCTAGTCCCACCCCCTGCTCAAGCATACCTCACGTGACCATGGGACGACGTGCGTTTGACTCCCCTGCCCTATCCCATTTCAGACAAGGGATTGCCCAAGCCTCTTCTTGGAAACCTCCAGTGAGGGAACTTCTGGAGGCAAAAGCTGTTCCTCTGAGTAATTGTCCTAAGCGTCTGTAAATTTGTCCCTAGATCTAGCTCAGGGGTTCCCAACTCCCGGGCTGCTGTTTCCTACCTATTTGGAGCCGGGCCACGTTGAGAAGTGGGCTGGTGCACGCGCAGCTCAGCTTGTGAGAGTGGCATGCTGGCGTGGGATGGGAGCCGCATTCGTACGTGTCAGGCCTGGTTCCCCTCTTCCCACCCCACCCCAACTCCCTCGCTAAGCCGGGCTCCCAAGCTGCAGAGGTTGGGGACCGCTGGTCTAGGTTGCTCTCTTACCCCAGGAGTTGCCGCAGCTTGCCTGAAAGCCTGGAGGAGCCCAGGTTCAGCTCTTTGAGGCAGGTGAGGCGGCTGAGCTGGGTGGCGAAGTACTGCAGGCTCCCTTCCATGCCCACCGTCAGGCGCCGGACGTCGATGTTGCTGTACGGCAGCTTCAGGCTGGCCAGGTTGGTGAACTTGGTCAGGTGCGGCAGGACCACCCGGAGGCCAGAGAGCCCGAGGTTGTTGAAACGCAGGTCCACCTGCCGGACCCCAGCGGGGTCTAGGAATTCCAGCAGCCCCACGGTGCTGGCGATGGACAGCTCTTCTGCCCGGAAGTCCCGGCAGCGCAAGCGCAGGGCGTTGCCGCTGTTGATCTGCAGGGCGTCTTTCAGCACCACGTAGGAGGTGCTGTTGACAAAAAGGTCCACCCAGACATCCACGGACACAGGCTGCGGGGCCGGCAGGGCCACTGAGCTGCTGTAGGGGCCCTTCCTCCGCTTGGAGGAGCGCTTCAGGCACTTGCTCTGCTGCTTGGAGACGTCCAGGCAAGCCTTGGCCAGCGTGACCGTCCGGGACCACAGGCTCATGCTCTCGGGGCCATGCCCTTCGTCCTGGAGGCCGGTCATGTCGAGGATCTGCAAACGCTGCCCCTTGCTGGACGGAGGAGCAACAAAAAGGAAACCGTTAGGGGTCAGCTTTCCAGCAAACCTCCATTCCACCCAATAACTCTGAGACGGACATCTCTCAAAAGTTCCTTTTTATTTGTATAGTAATTGGCACAACCGGGGAATCCCGAATCTGAAAGTTTCGGGCTTCCTTGCAATAAGCAAAAACTACAAAATCCATTCCCTGCACCCGTCATCACCTCACATGCCCCAATCTCCAACCGTCCCAACTCGAGACTTCCCCTCACTTAGGTGCAACGCAACCTGACCTTGAATCAGAAAAAGAATTTTATTATGTCTAACTAGATATGCTCCAATGAATTCCCCCCTCCTCCCACTTTCCCAAGCTCAATTGTGGCCTCAGATCTCAATAAGGCTTCCAAAGCTGACATTAGGTTGACCAGGAATCTAAGGTGTTCTATTGAAAGACTTGAGGAAGGAGCATAGGTGCCGATGTCACCCTTGCCACTGCAGGCCTTCGAGGTCATGCAAGGTTCTTCGGGAAACACCCCGAGTCCCTGAGATGACACTCTGTGTCCTTTGGAGGTCCTCCCAAGAGTGGTGGGTGGCTATTTCTATACTTCTTTATTTTAAACTAGGAGTGTCAAACTCGCAGGCCGCAGAGTGGATGCGTCACGTGCTGGCCATCCCCCACCCCCCCCCCCCCCGGTTTAGCGAAGGGGGAAAGAAGTTGTGATACGTCACGTGGCGACGTGAGTTTGATCACCCCTGATCTAGAGTGTGCCAGCTTGTCTGGGTGGGGTGGGCCAATGCTTCTGAGTGGACAAGGTAGCTAAGGGACATCCTTTGCTAAGGGAAGTCTGTCTTTATTCAGCTGAATAACCAGGTAAAGCTTATCGGGGTAGATACCTGGACTCTGTCTTTCTTTAGACCAAGCCACACCTGAAACTGGCAAAACAGTGAGAGCAGCAGTCGCAGCGGCAAGAACAAAATCCATCAGTGTTCCTCCAGCTGACCACAGAGTTGACTGGTCTGCCTTCCTAGAGGTCACCATTGGCACAAGCCTAAATAATAGTGTTTTGATGGGACTAGGAACAAAATAGGATTCCTTTGTGCTCGCTGTGATCTTTTCTTAAAGTGTTTCCAGCATCCCTGGATAAAAATAGCTTTACCACTGGACTGACTTATTAAATACAGCAGGGGGTCCCCAAACTTGGCAACTTTAAGACTTGGGGACTTTAACTCCCAGAATTCTCCAGCCAGCACAGCTGGCTGGAAAATTCTGGGAGTTGAAAGCCCACAAGTCTTAAAAGTTGCCAAGTTTGGGGACTCCTGGTGTACAACTTGGTATTCTGGGCATCTTAGGGCAAACGATCCAAGGTAGTGACCGGGCAAATAAAATGAACCTAAGGTGTGAGAATCCAACTTTTATCTTCACATGCAAAGGGTTTAACAGCAATGTGTAGGAATCACTAGTAATGAAAAATGACCTTCCTGATAGATAAGAGGGTCAATAGTCTTAAAAAGGCTGGAGAAAAGTTTAAGCGTGGGATACAACTTAAAATGGAAAAGCCAGGTGAGCTGCATCACACATTTAGAAATTCTAGGGAATCCTGGTTTTAATGCAGGTAGTCCTTGACTTACAACACAATTGAGCCCAACATTCCTGTTGCTAAGCAAGACAACGGTTAAGTGATATTTTCCCCCATTTTATGACCTTTCTTGCCACAGCTGTTAAGTGAATCACTGCAATTGTTAAAGTTAGTCGCAGAATGGCTATGTGAATCTGGCTTCCTTGTTGACTTTGCTCGTCAGGCTCTGCCACTGTCATAATTGTGAGTCAGTTACCAAATATCTGAATTGACCATTGGGCTGTTGCAATGGTCGTAAGGGTGAAAAATGGCCATGTCACTTTTTCCAGTGCCGTTGTAACTTTTGTGAGGAACAGAAAAATAGCCTATTGGAGCACCAGAGTCCATAGGTCTCAGAAGGATAGCAGGCCCTCCCAAAAAGGTTATATGAACCAAAGTTTTAGACAGAAAGATTTCAAAGTGTATCAGAACTATTTCTAATCCTGTGGAGCTGTTGCTATGAAATGTGATTGTGCAAAGTATGTAGTTTTAAAAACCGCAAGAAATAAGGAAGTGAAAGCAGCCGATGGAGAGAGGTTTGAGATGTCCAGGGGTGTATGTGGAGACGGTCTGTCTGAAGGAAGGACAAGGAAGTAAGTTGTGAAACTGCATGCAGAAAAGCATCAAAATAATGTCTTGGGCTGAGTTCAGGACCACCAGCTGTAGCTATTCCTTGCTGGACTCAGCTATGTCATGGACCACCTCGTGGCAATGGGGTATTGATAGAAGTTGTGTTACGATGGCTTGTTCATGCTCCAAATTGCTCATGGAATAAAACCTCTGAATCTTAAGGTAAGAATTGTTTATTGTATTGCTGTTTCCTGTTTCTTTTACTGGAATTATTTTTATGACACTTTGAATGGCCACTCACTGAGCTGTTGCAAGCCAAGGACTGCCTTTATTTTCCTGGCCTCGGTGGAGATGCACATTCTGTGTGCTTCACTTAGGAAGACAAGAGAGAAGAAGGAAAGGGTACACATACCTCTTACTACCCTTGCGATCCTCCAGCATCTTCATGAGGTACGTCACCACTCCCAAAATAATGGCCTGAATGCACAACTTGTTTGGTTTCTCCCGGATCAGGGCCCGCTCACAATGCTGACATTTGCGCAAGAGTTTCTGGAAACTGAGGACAGGGAATGGCCAGGTCTGCACCAATTGCTGAAGCGACGGAGTTCTCTTATCCATGAAGGCAGCCTTGAACAGGACGGGATACAGCTCCTTTGGGAGGAAGCCCAGGGCATCTTGCAGAGTTGTATAGTGAGAGACAACCTTCTGGGCACAGAGGAAGACCAGGGAATACATGGCGGCAACTGGATGGAGGGGCTGCGAGCCAGAAGTTTGCTATGGAAAAGAATAATATTACTAGATACTTTCTCTGCAGTCTGTCTCAAAAAACGTTCATCTACTTGTTCAAACCTTCGGTTTCAAGAAACATCTAATGAGAAATTGACATACATCAGGCACTTTATAAACAAAAGCCACAACATTCCTGCAAAGAAGGAATGGTCAATGGCAGTCAAAAAAAGGGTTAGATTGAGTCCGCTTGTGGCTATGTAGGGATTCGAGGCTGATTCCTCTTTATACTCCGCCTCCAAGTTTTGCCACTCCTCCTACTGTTAGGGATGGATTGTCGTGGAGAATAACTATGCGCACACTAAAAGTTGACAATGACTTGATGGCACATAAGCAATCCTGAAAGGGCCATAAGCCTCACTCTTGTCAAAGTTAAGGAAGGGCTTGAAGCCAGCCGGCATTTCAATCACATTCCACTGACCGCAACAGAAGAAAAGCACACAAAATCCCTGCCTAGTTAAATCTGGATTACATGCCTTTCGGGTCCTCCAAGAGAGGAAACTCTATGATAAATGATCCCCTTTTACAGACTTACAGGTCCTGGAAGTTTTCTGACGTCTTGAGATAAGAGAAGGGATTTTTTTTTTTCTCCACAGATAGCTTTGGGGGAAAGGTGACCTCACGGATTCCCACTATATCCAAAAAAGCAAATTCAGCACTTCCAACTAATTTCTGCTTTTTCTTCTGACTTGATCGGCAGAGCTATCCAAAATTGAGTTCCTCGGGAGAGTGCAGCTTTTCTATATTGTATCCTCTTCAAAACGCTTCTCTTCGGATTCCTCCATGACTAAATCTGAGGCAGAAAAACAAGAGCATAATTAACAAATTAATGGAGTTTTTACAAGCCCCTCACGTCCTGGACATAAATGGTTTCAACTCCTACCCTCAAAACGATGTTATAGGGCACTGCACACCAGAACAACTAGACACAAGGAGTTTTTTTTCTGCATGCCATCACTCTGCTAACAACTAATTCCCACAACACTGTCATATTTACCAAGACAGTATTACTATTCTTCTTCTCATCCTTTCTATTACCCATCTCCTCCTACTTATGACTATAACCTTGTTGCTTGTATCTTTACCATTTCTATTGTTTTAGTTTCCTAGTATGATCTGATTGCTTAATTTGGTATCCTATGATTATCACGGTATTGTATCTTATGATTCATGATGTATTTTTTATGTACACCGAGAGCTTCTACACCAAAGACAAATTCCTTGTGTGTCCAATCACACCTGACCAATGAAGAATTCTATTCTATTCTATTCTATTCTATTCTATTCTATTCTATTCTATTCTATTCTATTCTATTCTATTCTATTCCTCTTCTAGGAGCAGGCACACAGGTAAGACAGCAGATATGTCTATGAGAATCTCTGTAGATATACAGATAATCCTCTACTCACAATTAGAATTGACCCCAAAATTTCTGTTGCTAAGTAAGACAGCTGTTAAATAGTTTTGCCCCATTTTATGACTTTTCTTTCCATAGTTGTTAAGTGAACCACTGAAGTTGTTAAGCTAGTGACAAAATCTGGCTTCCCCGTTGACATTGCTTGTCAGGTCGCTAAAGGTGATCCTGTGACCCGGGGATATTGCAACCATCATAAATATGAGTTAGTTGCCAAGCCTCTGAATTTTGAACACAGGATCGTGGGGGGATGTTGCAATGGTCTCTAGTGTGAAGAACAGTCATAGGTCACTTTTTTTCAGTGCCACTGTAACTTGGAATGGTCACTAAATGAATGATTATAAGTCAAGGATTACCTGTCTTTTGTAGATACTTGCCTGACCAGAAGTATGGCTATAATTAGGAGCCTCGGTGGCACAGTGGTTAGAGTGCAGTACTGCAAGCTACTTCTGCTGCAGCCAGCTGCCTGCAATTTGGCAGTTCGAATCTCACCAGGCTCAAGGTTGACTCAGCCTTCCGTCCTTCCCCAGGTGGATAAAATGAGGACCCAGATTGTTGGGAGCAATAGGCTGACTCTGTAAACTGCTTAGAGAGGGCTATGAAGCACTATAAAGCGGCATATAAGTCTAAGTGCTATTGCTATAAGGGGAGGGGGGAAGAATGTCAGGAGCTATTTTACATGATTCAGGAAAGAAGCATTTCTTTGGCTTGCAATAGAGTGAGTGGTTTTAAGAGAACAATCTGTACTCCATCGTAGCAGTGTTCCAATTATGCTTTATTCCTTTAAAGTGGTAGATGATGGGCAGCCTCCTGAAAGGCCCTTCTTATAAAGCCATTTTCATCTTCATAAAGTGTTGCTGCAGCATTAAGCTGCCTCTGAATTCCTACTTTTGAAATGACTGATCTTAACATTTAACATTATTGTTACATTAATGTTGACATATGTAATTGTGTAATATGTAGTTGATCATCAAGAGTTGTTTTTTTTCTTTATTTCAATGGGATGTACTTTGTGCATAAAACTCCCAAAGAATTTTAGCCTTAAAGAGGTGCAACTTTATTTCAAACAAATTTGACTGGGCTCCATAACTTGTTCAGCCCATGGCTGGACGAAGGAACAACTATTTTTTTTTTGCTCAGTGACCTAAAAAGACCCTGGTCTTGTCAAAAAGGGAGGGGGAGACAACTTCAGCTGGACAGTGTCAGAGGGACCTGTAATCCACGCAGCGTTTTGCAGCTTGCTAACCCATAAATAGTTGTGTCTTGAGAATAGGCAGAATATAAATCTATCCATCTATCCCTGATAACAATAAAGAACAGTCTGGGTGGGGATGGGAAGTTGGGTTTGGTTATTAAGACTAGTGATTCCCATTATTTCCCCTGAACTGAGAGGATGGTCCTTCTGGGAGAGGCAGGAAGGAGAAACAGGATATCACCTCTTATTCTTACCTAAGAGAAAGCTCTATTTAACCAAAGGAGCTTACTTTGGAATGCACAGGTTTAACATATAAAACTTATTACATTTGACCAAAGATTCTTCAACAAGCTGAAATGCCACTTTACCCTCAGAAAATGAGGACAATTATTTTATAAAGCATTATCATTGCTTAAACTGCTAGTCTGAATTAGGAAGAACAAAAAAGGCCTCTCTACATAATTCCTCTCCTCTTTCCTTTTATTTCTACCGCTTTCGCCTTGATGAAATGAGCACCAACTAGCAGTCAGAAGACGTGATAAAAACTCTTTCATTGCACAACCTATGGACAAATTTAACCCTAGTTTCAACGGGGAAGCTGTGACCATAAGCCAAGTCCAAAAATGTTAGGGAATTAACAATCGACCTCAAATAGATACGTAGACATAAATAATATCCACAGAATATGTGAAAGAAACCAGCCACAAGCCCAAAACTGGAACAAAATGGCCAAAACTATCTCCCCACCAGCAACCAGCAGTTATATGAGCAGGTTAGCACCAAGATTAACACTAGATAAACCATCCAGAAGGAAACCCCAATCAAGGTACTACCAAGGCAAATAAACAAGTCCAATAAACAGCCTAATCAAGGAAAGACCAACACTGAGAGGGCAAGCCAGTAGCATATAAACAGAATGCAAACCTCACTCCTTACTAGCACTGATGATGCTTCCTGGTTGGGTAATGAAACGTCTGGAGGAACACAACCAATCTCAGAGGGCAACAAGGATTCCTCACAGAAGAGCCATCATGTATTTCCTTACCCTGATTACTGAAATTTCTTCTTAGTTAAAGTTGTAGCTGGAGAGCGATATTAAACTATGGGTGAAAGAAAGCAAGGGGTCCAAGTTTATATGCACTCAATATAGTTGGAGGACTCCACAGATTTACCCCCAAATATTGTGAACCCCATTCAGCTACAGACCCCACCAAGCTGGAGGGTCTGTTTGTGGATGATGCTTCTCTCTCCTCCTCCTCCTCCCAACCCACCAAAAATACGCAATTCTCTGGGGACTTGAAGATGTGAGATTGAAGAAATACTTTTAACAAAAGAAACAAGGCTCAGAGATATAGCCATCATAATCCGTGATGCAACTGCACGTCAAATCCTACAAAAATCATGGACCCCCCACCCCTTGATGGATGTAACAGTGAACTGGATTTCGATACTGGATGCTTTTGCCAGCAACCTCAAGACACAATCATCAATGGGGGGGGAAAAAATCTTACATAACAATCTCAGCAGAGCGCAGCCAGATGCCATCCAAGGCCTCAAGAGACTCACCATGACATCATAATCAAAGAAGCTGAGGCCAAACAACTCTTCCCAGATCTTATGTCACCAACACTCTCATAAGAGACACCACAGATTTCCAAAGACTGAAATCTATTGACCACTCTTGTGATATAATCACTTAGCTGCCACGGACGGTGAAGTGTCATACAACAACCTTCTCACAATTATGGGCTTCAAGCTGTCAGGATCATCACCATTAATGTCAACGCAGTATGGCACGTGTGAGTTTATGCTCACCAATGTGAGTTTGTACAGTGACTGAGTTTCTATTTGCCGATGAGAACTACTTCACCGTTGCTAAAAATTTCGATTATAAGGTAAAACCTAATTCAAACTAAAAGGAAAAAAAGAGTAAAAAGTGCAAGTGAAATGACTCTAATAAGGAAAAAGGTGTAGAATGACTTCCAATCGTCATCCTAAGTATAAACAAAGTTAGTACTGTTTATACCAGTGGCGGCTAACCTTTTGGGGCTCCTGTGCCAAAAACTGTGCATGCGCTTGCATGCTAGCACCCAGAAGGCAATCTGCGCACCCACCCGCACCACCCCCTTATCTGCATTGCACCTCCCAGCTGATTTTCGGTCCATTTGAGGCCTTTTTCAGCCTCCCAGAGGCTTGAGGAAAGCTGCTACAGCTTTTGCAGGCCGAAAAATGGGCCTGTTTTGTCCCTTCCGGTATTTCCGGAAATACAGGAAGTGACCAAACTGGCCTCAAACAGGCCGAAAATCAGCTGTGAGGCACACATGCATGCGCAGTGAGGTAAGTTTGCCTGTGCCTCGCGTGTTGACACAAATGGCACAGGTGGCACGCACGCCATAGATTCGCCATCGCGGGTTTATACTCTCTAAAGTTATATTTATCTTTTCATGTGTCTATAAACAAATCCACATCATCTTTTCAGTCCTGGTGTCAGCAGAAAGCCTAGATTAGAAAGTGTAGCTAGAAGTAGTAACATATCTTTACCTTGATCAAATAAACTAACTTTATATTCCTTTCTTTTGCATTTTACGTTCTAAATATTTATTCAAATATTGTCATTATATTTTATTTCTCTTCATTTCTTCTTTGTCCCATCACACAGAGCATTCCAAGGCTCTTATAAAAGTCTCTTTTATAAATCCATTAAGGAAAAAATTACCTAAGTCAATTACGTTTGGCTTGCCAGTTGTAAATCCACTTTTGATACCACCTCTTATCTTCTCAGATAAAATTTGTTCTACATCTGACATTTCTTTAATGACATATTTTGGACACAGACTAACCATAGAAGCAGACATCACTACTCAGATTGTTGATACCTGGACTATTATTCTCTGATTTCATTCTTCAAAAGTCTTCAATATTTTTATTGCTGTAACATGTTGCAGGCTTGTGCATTTTCCTCTACTAAAAATCTTTACTTCCTTCTAGTATCTCATTTTTTAAATCATGAAAGTATACCTCCATGTTATGTTTTGTGAAAACCAAA